CTTCTGAAGAAGGGTCCAGACCCAAAATGTCAGTTTTCCTGCTCCTCTGATGCTGCCTGGCCTGCTGTGTTCATCCAGCTCCAGACCTTGTTATCTCTAAAGTTCCTGTGTTTTGACCTAATATGTCTTGAGGCTCACTCATGTAGTTAATAATTCCAAGTGTCCTTTCTGCAAAATCATGAAAGTAGTATCTGAAATTCACCTTGCTGCAAGAGGTGGGTTTTTTTTTCACAGTTGACCTATTTAATCTTTTGAACGTTTAACAACCTTTAATTCATTGTTGCCCAGATGAAAGAACGGAAAAGAGAGAAGTAAGGGACTTCCAAATCCAAAACAGAAAGTTTTCTAATAATGTCTTTATAATCTAAACTTTACCAGCATCAGATTCTCCCTTTGTGATAATTTCTATTAATTTACTTCATTTTGTGAGTGTGTAGTTTCTCTGGAAATGCTACCAATATTTGCTGAAAATTTATAGATACATCTTTCCTAAAATACGGTACATTGTGTTGATGGATTGATTTGAAGTATTTAAGGTTTATCAGTTAAATTGTATCTATTGATCAATGGATATCATGCAAGATATTTTAAATATTAAAGAATCATTTTTTTAGCTAGTCAGCTACTGGTTGCATTAACTGAATCATTCTCAGGATAAGGGGTCAGCCATTTAGGGCTGAGGTGAGGAGAAATTTCTTCGCTGAAATGATTTTGAATCTTTGAATATATTCAGAACTGATATCAATACTCTTTGGGGGAACTGAGGGAATTAAGGATTATGGGGATAATGCAGGAAGGTAGAGTTCTGATAAAAGATTGATTATTGAGTGACGTAGCAACATTGCAGGTTTGGAGGGCCTACACCTCATTCTTATGTTTGTCTAGTGTCATTCTGTTGGTGATGTTGGGATGGAATGTATTTATATCCACAAACCTAGCACAACTGACCCAGTCTGCATATTCCAGGTTCTCTCATTATGCATTGCTTGGATGGACAAACAATCTCTTTGGTATGGCTGTTTGAATGCTTTCTTTTAAAAAGTTGTGTTTTATTTGATTTCTTTTCTGCTCATTTGTCTGAAAAGAAAATCATTCACATCATTTATTCTCCATTTCTAGCCAGTTACAGCCAGTTACAAGGTATTCCACTGGTTTTGCTTCCTCCCTCACAACTCCTTCACAATTATTTTTCGAATGCTGCAAAGGGCTGAACCCAGACCTTTGACGTGTTTGTTCTGTCAGTTGTGGCTCAGTGGGTAGGATGCTCGCAGCTGAGTTACAGGTTCATATCCCAATCTGGGGCTTGAGCACTAAAACAAAGTTAACATTCGATTTTCAGTACTGAAGGAGAGCCTGCTCTATCTGAGTTGCTGTCTTTTGTAAAACATTGAACTGAGGACCCCACGGTCTGCTCATCTGGATACAAGAGATCCCATGGCACAATGTCAAAGAGCAGGGCAATTCTTCTCGCTGTTCTGACCAATACCTCAAACAACAGCACAAAAATGTATATTAGCTGCTCATTATGTCCTTGCTATTTGTGACAGCTTACTGTGTGCAAATTACCTGTTGTGCTTTCTAAATTACAACAGTGACTGCTCTTTAAACAGTATTTGATTGGCTGTAAGGTACTTTGAAACTTCCAATGTTCATGAAAAACCTGAGCAACGACACTGATACTAACCAACCCTGTTGTTTTATTCATTCAGGGGATGAGGGTGATGATGACAAGACCAGCATTTACTGCCTATCACATTGAGAAGGTGCTTTGTGAATAATAATCTTGAACTAAACTGAATGGTTTGCTCCTTAATTTCCCCACGTGGACTAGATTCGCACATAGACAAGACTCTGTAAGGCCAGCAAATTTTTGTCATGAAAGGACCGCAGTAAATCGGGTGGGTTTTAGTGCAGTGATAGGTACAAGGACACCATTACTGGTACTAGCTTTTCTTTTAAGATTTATATAATTAACTACATTTAAATTCCCTCGCTACTGTGTTGAGCAAATTCATGTCCCAGTTTATTGATCAGGTAACAATCACTATGCTTCTATTTGGTTAACATATTTTCAGCATTTTATTAGCTTAAAATTCCCAATTTTGTGTTCATTACTTTTCACTTGAGAACCACTTAATGAGATGCTATTGGAATCTGTTTATGATTCACAGACTGCTTCCTATCTAGAGGCTACCAAAACTAGACGCACAGTTTATTCCTGAGTCACAAATAACAGCGATCGCTTACATTTGGAGCGGGGGTTGATATTAAAGGTGGTGTTCAGTTTCTGAGAGCGCAGTTCTTTCCTGATCGACTCACGATCAAATGCCAGTTGGTGCACCATGTCCTTTGGCGGCTTCTCGACCGGGGCTTTTGCCATTCTGGTGCTCGGCTCCTCACTGGAGGAGGCTCTCTCCCACCCCTCACTCCCCCGAGACTGGCTCCTGAAAATTGTTACACTGTTGCCAGGCAACCAATACAAGGAAACAAACACACGTGGACGTGGTGTAACTGGTGGAAACGTTAACCAGCAAAAACATTTTTTAAAAAACGATGTACACAACCAGAAATCGTGAGAAATGGAGTGTCTTATTAGAGATGTGGAAGTTTCCCAGTAGAAAAGGAATTGTGAATATTCTTATAATAAAATGCCTCTTTTCGACAAAAACACGAATTATAAATCGGAAATCCTATTTTTTACTTTTCACCGTATTTTTATTTTACATCATTTTGCATTTTAAGATCCCCCCCACCCCCATTTTGTTTTTGCTCCGCATTAGACGCTGGGTGCAGTTCAAGAACCCCTGTTGTAGTCCGATTCCATTCTCTCTAACGCTTCCTCACTCCCAGTCTTGTTCAGAGTTGCACTCCGTCCAGCTCCTGAAACTAAAAGTTAAAAGCTGTCCAAATGTCGCCTCTGGTTAAAACGATTATTTGGCTGACAATTCTAAATATCTCTGACACAGTAATGAACGCTGAATAAACTTCGTTTTAATGTAAAACCTTCCTGAGCCACAAGAATTGGCTTGACTAATTATAGTGCTTAACTGGAAAGAACACCGCAAGTAGTAGATCATGTTTCAGTTCTGGCTATGTTAGATTTTATGATTATAACTGGTTAGGTCAAATAAACAGGATATTCTACTATAGAACATGTTGTTCTGAAAATAATTATCTTCTAATTTGCCATTAACAGTGACATGCGATCTACTAGTTCGTTAAGGTAAGAATATCATCGATAATGGAAGGTTCTTGTGGCACAGTGATAGTGTCCCTGCCTCTGGGCCAGAAAGTCATGTTCAAGTACCACTTGCCTCAGACATGTGTTTTCTGAACAGGTTGATTTGAAAATATCCATTTTTTTTAAAAAAAGGTAAAGTCACCATTGTTTTCCAAACTATAGAGCTGCTGTCCCATTAGAGAGAGCCAGTAGGTGGTGGGGGGGGGGGGGGGTCACTATACCTCAGGCGAGGGGAGAGGTTGAGAAGGGAAGTCCTTCATGGTAACCTCAGCTCGTGCGGAAATTGAACCCACACTGTTGACAACACTCTACAGCTAAAACTAGCTGTACAGCCAGCTGAGCTATAATCAATGGTGGAAAGGAATTTTCAGTAATGAGTAGTAATCACATGTCAATGAGTTGATCTCCAAATGCAAAGAGGCATTAATGATACTTCAGATGTCCGGTTGGGGATATGAAGTCGAAGTAACACAGTGATTCTTGCTTAATATTTTAATCCCTAGGAAGTTTCTGAATAAGAGCTCAATTTCAGACTCAAATTTGAATTTGAAATTCAAATTTGTTTTAATTAATTTTCAGGAAATTTAACACTTACAAAATAGTTTCAAAACAATGTAATGTAAGTGCAATTCTTCTACACAAAAAGTGCAATTTTTAAAAAAATGTCAATCTCTTATGTGTCCTTCCAGGCATGTGATTTGTCCCTGACTGACCTCTTCGAGCCTGGAATTGATCAGTAAAGCCACCAATTCAAGCAACTTCTCCACCCTTCCAAGATAACAGTGCTCCCAGACAGCTCCATATTATTATGTAGGAACATGGAAAATCTCACCATTATGATTCCAGCAGCCTGATTTGAGTCAAGTGGTTTAGGTTATGCACCTGACCAACCATAGGCCCCGCCCCACACCCTGGTGTTGAAATGTTGTCTGCTGCAGTTACAGAACATGGTGCTGTGTGGAAAATAGGAGTGATAAGCTTATCAATCAGTGGAGGGGACTGGGATGCACCTTGGGCAGTAAATGGGCATCAAAGAAGGGATAGGGTTGCATTTGAGGACCATGAGAGATATAAAAGGTACGTTTTATATCTACTTTAGATATTTCGTGTGCGGTGTTGGTACAGTGATGCAGTGATGCTGCTGACGACTGTACGCAGTCTGAGTGTCTTCTGTTCTACAATGTGCTCATCACCCAAAACTGAACTAAAGTCAAGCAAAGGGCTGTCTTATGATGTAGACTAGATATTACATCTTTCACACATGCTATCATACATGTTTCTTCAATTATTCCAAAGTGGACTGATAAAGACACTACAAAGTTAAGCCTAATATGATCATGAAGTAGTGTTATTTCAGAGACAGCAAATTAATATGCAAGCAAACAATCAATCCTGATTCCAAAATCTTGAAAGCTCAATCCCATCTCTTGTTTCATGGCTGACATTTGTTTCTGGCATGACGTTTTTTTCAGATCACTTTTTACTGTAGAGACTGACCTGAAATATAAGGCCTCTGGCCTTAGCCTTGCAGTCCCATACTTCAAAACTAATTGCCCACGCACAGGCTTTTAACCTCAGGCTACAGATTATAGAGGCATTCAAATGAATGCACTGGTCTTTCCATATAAATATGACATAAGCAAATAATTGATAAAGTGGAATTGAATGTAGCAAAATGAATGGTTGGACTCTCTAAATGCGTTTTGTTTTAGGACAATTTAAGAGCATTCTACATCGTACTATACAGTTAATAGTTTCTCTACATTAAAACAATGAGTTGAGATCAGTTTGGTGTTGTCCAGAACTTGTACGATTTACTTCTTTCACAAACATAACATGCATTTTTTTCACCAATTTGCCCTCGGTTGGACTGAGAACTGTAAATAAAGCAGACATATTTTTTAGATGCAATGTTTACGTTAACCATTTAGGATTGTCATAACTAACCATAGCAAAAGCTGACTTCTAATCTAATGGATTTTAACCGTTATTAAATAGCCTGCAATGACAACAGGCTGAACCTTTTTCTTTTTGGTTCCATGTCAATTTCATTGAGTTCCACTGAAGGTTTATCTCAAAGTTTTCTTTCACTATTGTCCTAAACCTACTTCATTATCTACCTGCCCAATCCAATAGCAACTCAATGCTAGCCTGATTCTACCACTTGCCATAACTGGAAGAACTCGCCACTGGCCAGACATTTTGGAATGGACTGGCATTCCTGTTGACAGTGCCATCTTTAAAAGATTTTTGCACACCTGGACATGCACTGACAGACCCGAACTACCCTGCACAGTTTGTGATGTTTGCCCATGGCAAATGTCATGGCAGAGAAGGGGAACTTTCAACCAACTTTCAGGACAGGTGACTGATAGTTCTTTTCCATGGGGTGGTGCAAAGGAGTGCCATCCTCTTCCTCCAGGACTGCCAAAGGAGGCCACGATGCCAGGCCTTGCCAACCTGGTCCTAGGTTGCCACACAAGTCAGTGCAATCTCAGCCATCCGGAGAATACCCAGCACTGTAAGAAGAAGGTCATTGACCTTTTTGAATCCACCAGGGTAAGTGCTGCTATTATCTCTTCACTACTTCTTTATCACTTTGTCTCTTCTACACCAATTTTCCATTGAGGCTCTACCCCTCTTACTATTGCATGCAACATCTTCTCTGATTCGCTGTCACCCACCTCAATCCCCACACACTAACCCTGCATGCCTCTGCTCTTACTCATTCCCTTGGGATACATCACTATCTTTCCCCCCACCTGCACAACACTAACAGTTGTTCCAGCCACTTTCATATTGCTCAATTCCTCCTCTGCTCTCATTACAGGAGAAAACAACCCACAATAGGGCAGAAATGAACAGGTTCTGATGTTCAGTTCTTCATCCCTTATGAGAAAAGGATCCTGACTGCATCCAAGACAGGTACTGGAGACTGCCCTTATTGTGCTGGGGCCCCTGACTTGTGGCGATCTCCTCTAACTGAGAACAGCTGTCAACCATGTTAAACTTCTTGGTTTTGTGTCTGCGCTAAATGGCAAGGCAAGATTGAACTACCATGAGCCTTATAGCTCTGAGAGGGCAGAGTATGAAAAGGCAAGGCAGGGATACTGTAAGCATCCAGGTATGCTTAAATTAAGTAAACATTGTAACAGCAAGTAACATCCCGGAGATGCAGCCTGGTCCCATCCCCGAGCTGGATGCCTGCCCCTGTTAGTTGCTTGTGAAGCCTGAAGTGTAAAGTGCAGAAGCATATTGTAAGTGTATCAGAGATGTGCCATGCTGATGTGGAGGGGCTGGCATATGTGCACCGCCAAGGTCTTTGGAAATTGTGTGTGCAGTCACTGTCCATGGGTGTGTGCCCTGAGATGCTGGTACTGGGTGTCCAAGATGGAGGGCCTTGATAACAAGCAGTGAGCAGATGCCGGCTCAGACTTCATGTCAAGATTTCTCAGCGTCTAATTTGTTCACAGCCGGTGATAGGATAAGAGGCTGCATATTACTGAGGGAAGATCTGCAATTAATCAGGCTGACAACAAGCAATAATCCCCTTTAAATAGGCATCTTGCTGATACCTAGTGAGAATCTCAAATCATTATCTGGGACTTGGCTGGAAAGTGCAGCTAGTTGTTTTTGCTGTCAGGAACGCCTTGTCCAACTTCTCTCACAATTCTCCCGGATTCTCATTGTAGCCCATATTATTCAGGCCCCTATATCTTATTCCCCTATACCCCTATTCCCCAATATCTTTTCAGAATATATCTGGGAAGACAGCTAATAAAAAAAAAACAAACTGCTCACTCACTCTTCCCAGAATTCTCTCTTTCACATAAAACAATATCTGCAAATGACTTATGAATCTTTATATTCATTGAAACTCCTTGTAATCTTCAATCAATAAATATAACATTCCTTTATAAAAATTGTAATAAGATAGTTCCTTGGTACAAATTATAAACCACAGAGACTCAAAATTCTAAGGAGTAGGAAGAACAAGGTTTTGCTCTTTTTGGAAGGGCATGTGAGAAAAACAGTTGGAAGTCATTTGCTGCTGTGCAAGTTCAGAGGATAAGATGGTACTCTGCATACTGCTTTAAAAGAGACAACAAACCAAAACTATGGTGATTTACATTGAGGTCCTTTTTTGAATTTGTTTTCAGCATGTGGTAGTGTTGGTAATTCTACATATATTGCCTGTCCCTAGTTGTCCTAATTTAATTAAAAGCCCAACTAGACATTCCTTTCTCTCACCCCTCCTCATGACTGGCTTCTGGTCTGCTAGTACAGTAAATGTGACATTACTGCACAGTGCACAGAAAGTAAGGCACATAAAGTTTAACAGAGTGCAAATGGCTCTCCTCAAACATGAAAATAATGAAATCTTCATACCATTTGCAATTCAACTACAGACAGCAGTTGAAATGAATAGCATTGATGAATTTAAGGAGAAGCTAGATAAGAATGTAAAGGAGAAGGTAATAGAGCATTACCCTGATAACTGAAGAAGGATGCGATGCTTGAATGGAGCATAAAGGCTGGCATGAGTTGGTAGGGCTGAATGGCCTAAATCTGTACAGTAAATTTAGAGTTAAAATCCCACCACGACAGATCTTTATTCTGTACCTTTATCTAAAGGTTGGGGAAAGAAAGATAGCATCAGTAAAAAGATCTTGAGACTGTCTGCTGTCACGTAAACACAACTAATGCCATTTAGGCCAGGAAACCCACTGTTCTCATTCACTGTGGCCTTTATGTGGTTGGCTAGAAGCAGTCTAGAAGTTCTAAACAGTTATATAGAGCTGAGCACAACCACAGAAGAGTAATAAACATCAGCTTTTCCTGTTACACTCACATTTTTTCAAAGAATAAAAAACATTTAAATTCCATGTTTGTAAGCATTCATAACAGCATGAAACCTATTCTTCAGGAGGTCCTTCTGCAAGCTACCCTAAAGTTGACTTGCAAAAGTCATATTCTGACTAACATAGGGTCTGACTGGAGATTTTTTTTAACACTACAAAGATTTGTTGTGAAAATCTCAAATTCTTTAAATTCAGTAACTTCTTTACAGGGCAAATTAATCTCATTTTTTAAAGAGACTTCCTCTCTTTTTCTAGAGTTGCTGGATTAAGATAGGCAATTGTAACCCAGTTAGTTATATCTTCACAACACTTCAGCAGTGAACTGGCTCCAATTCCACAGTAGATAGAGTTGTTTGAATTTATAATGAGATAACAGACCTGATAAATCCTCACGAATGTCGCTGTTTTAAAGGGTAAAAAAGAGATAAATCAGGAGATAATAACTTATTTATTTTGAATTTTGGATTTGTGTGTCCTAGATTATTTATGGTAGAATCATAACAACAGGAACTTGTTTTCGTAATACAGTAAAACATGTCAAATCTCTTTGGGCATTATAAAATCAAAGACAGTGTCAGGACACATGACATATTTGGGCAGATAAACAAAAGCTTAGTCAGAGGTAGGAATGGAGTATCTTTAAATGTAGAAAAGAGAATTAAAAGAGCAGAGAGGTGTAAATTAGTGAAGCAGAGATGCTCAGAATTAGAGGAATGCTGATATCGGAGGATTCTAAAGCTGCAGGATATTTCAGAACTAGGGTAGAATGAGGCACTGCTTAACTCGAAGCCAGTGTAGACCAGAGACCATTATGATGAGTGAATGGGACTGAGTGTAGGTCAGGACATGAGCAGCAATACTACTTATCCTAAACCTAACACATAAATTAAAGAATATGATGACTTTTAATGGTTTACTTTTAGATCATCAGTTATTATTATAACTATTTTCTATGTTGAAAGTACAGCAATTTTATAAATCATCTGAAATGAAGTGCATAATTACTTGTTTCATATGTTGGTTGATGTCCACCATCACATTGTGAAAAAAAGTAAATTCTGTCTTATTGTCAAAACATGATTTGAGCTATGCTGCTATTTAAAATGTTTTTCCCCCGATACGGAATGACATAATTGCAACAAATCTGTGTCTGACTACATAAGTGTGTGTGGTGACAAAGGAGGATATTTCTTCCTTTAAATTACTGGCCCTTGGCAGACGTCATATAAGAATTCGTAGCTCAATACTTACTGATCTGATCCAAAATCTAACCTTTCTCAGTTATAATTTTCTGTATGGTTGAATGCGTTCTTTTTGGTTGGTGTTAAGTCCAGCTATGGGGTCTCTAAGCACAAGCTAACCTGACATTCTGTAAATGTATATGAGAGAAAGCTACTTTTGCAATGTAATATTAAATTGAGGTTCAACATATCTGATTCAGATGGATGTCAATGATCCCGTGATGCTATTGTCCTAGTGCACTGGTCGATATTCCTTCAGCCACAAGCAAAGAAAAGAATGCCATCCCCAGCACTGTCATGAAGTTGTTACCATCTTTAAAGTTGTATTTGTAAAATGGACACCAACTGTTTTAAGACGGTGATGACTTATCTTATGTTTTTCGGCAGTATTCAATTTCTCTCAGTCTTGAAACATGAGTAAATACCTAAATACATATGGATAATCCCAGCCATTAATGAAATTCACACACGCCTTTTTTTAAACAACAGAAAGGACTATAACCTGAAAGTTGACTGATCTTACTACTTCACCATAGACCATAAAAACATCAAGACTCACATAGAGTCGTAGTCATACAGCTTGGAAACAGAGCCTTCAGTCCAACCATAATCCCAAACTATACAGGTGCCACCTGCCTGAGTTTAGCCCATAAAACTCCAAACATTTCTTATTCATGTACTTTTCTAAATGTCTTTTAAATGTTGAAATTGTACCCACATTTAGCACTTCCTTTGGAAGTTCATTCCACACAGGAACCATGCTGTGTTTCAAAAAAAAATTGAATATTGTTAAATTCAGGTTGCTGAGTTGACCAAATAAGGTGTGTGTCATGTGACTGGCGAGACATACTGGCACCATACTACCCTATATGGGGCATGGAATATGGATGTTTAATTTTTCAGAGGTTTTTATTTACCAGTAAAAGTCCATTGGTTGGGATCGAACAATGTGATCAGGATTTGATCAAATCATTGCCTGAATGCCAGAGATTTCTCCAGAAACTGAGCACATTTTTGGGATAAGTGGTAGAAATTGCTTTGTTCTTCTGTCAGAGGAGAAGAAGCTTTGAGACCACATTAGAAAAAGTACAAGCCCTGAACTCCTCCCAATGAATTTATACATATGAAAATGGATCTCATCAACTTTTCATAATGTTGTGATGGCTCCTCATTCAAACACAAAAACCTTGCTGTCTCAAGCAATCAGGATCTGCAAAGTCAAAACAGGATATTTACTGGCCTAACACGCCTGCATATTAGGCAAGGGTGTTTGGACTTGTATCAAGTCACGTTGGTAAGTGTAAGCAGTTTCTGTTCACATTTTCCACTTACAATGGTTCTTGGACTTGAGGATATTACAGAGAACAAAATTGCACAGAAATGGTTTTTACTTGCAGTAGTTGTGTCCATGGGTTTTAAGGTTGTTTTTCATATTTCATAAAGTCTAGTTAGAAGGGATTCAAAACCTTTGTAGGTCAGCCATACTTGTTATCTGCTTTTAAAAATAACAGCAGAAGCTGTTGTGAGACGGAAACACCATTGAGACCATAAGATATTGGAGCAGAATTAGGCCATTTAGCCTATCAAGTCTGCTCCCCCATTCGATCATGGCTGAATTGTTTCTCATACGCAATCTTCTGTCTTCTCTCCATTACCCTTGATCCCCTACTAATCAAGAACTGATCCATATCTGTCCGAAATACGCTCAATAACTTGACCTCTACAGCAATAAATTTCACAGATTCACCCTGGCTGAAGAAATTCCTCCTCATCTCAGTTCTAAAGAGTTGTCCTTTTGCCCTGGTCGGGTCTTAGTGTCTCCTACTAGTGGGAACATCTTCTCCACATCCACTCTATCCAGGTCTCTGTGTTCTCTAAGTTTCAAGGAGGTTCCACCCTTATCCTTCTAAGCTGTGCCCAGTCATCAATCGCTCTTCATATGACAAGCTCTTCATTCCCAGGATCATTCTTGTAAACCTCCTCTGGACCTCTCCAGTGCTACTATCTGAATTCCATTGAACTAAATGCAAGACAACTATGCAGCTAAGGTAACATCCAATTATACTGTTTCCCCAGCAAACTGCTCCTTTTAAGCTGAGTTCTTGTAAACTCAACTACAGGAAGCCTCACATCTTACTAAGAATCCTTGTTTTTAGAATAACTTAAGCTGAAGCATCAATTCAACTAATAAACCAAGTGGCAATTGTATTCTTTTCTTCATTTGTATGACCAGAAGACATAAGAGCAGAAATAGACCATTCAGCCCATTATGTCTGCTCTGCCATTCGGTGAGATCATGGCTGACCTAATGATCCTGAATTTCATTTTACTGCCTCTTTCCCATAACACTCAATTCCCTTATGGATTAAAAATCTGTCTACCTCAGCCTTAAATATACTTAATGACCCAGCCTCAACAGCCCTCTGTGGTAAAAAAAATCTACACATTCACTACTCCCGAGAGAAGAAATTCCCCCTCATCTGCCTTAAATGTGTGACCTCTTATTCTGGAAGTGAGGTAATCCAGCTCAATGGATACCAGAGTTTAAATACCAGGTGGGAAAACACAACAGCGCTTCATCGGAGGCTGCACTGATGATGTTACCCAGCAGGGTAATGAAACGTCTACAGAACAATGAACCAGCTCGGCGAGCCAACCAACCACAACGTCCACAACCCGAGCTACAAATCTACTCAAAAATCTTAGATGTATTTCAAAGGGGATAAAGTATGAAAATAGGGAAGTCTTGCCAAAACTATAGAGGCACTGGTTAGTACACATCTGGAAGGCTGTTAAATTTTGGTCCCCTTATACTGATATACTGACATTGGAGGCAGTCCAGAGAAAGTTCATTGGATTGATCCCAGATATGGGAGGGACTGTCTTATGAAGAAAGGTTGAGTAAGTTGGGCCTGTAGTCACTGGAATTTAAAAGAATGAGAAGCATTCTTATTGAAACATGCAAGATTTTTAGAAGGCTTGCAGAAAGGTTGTTTTCCGCTTGAGGGCGTGTCTAAAATCAGACAGCATAATCTCCAAATAAGGGCTCACCTAAACCAGGACAAAAATGAGGAGGATTTAGTTTCTCTCAATAGTGACTGTGGAATGCTTTATCACAGAGGCCTGTAGAAGCTGGGTCATTAACTACATTCAAGCTGAGATAGACAGAATTTTAATATCAGCGAGGGAATTGAGGATTATGGGGAAAAGGCAGGAAAGTGGAGTTAAGGATCATCAGATCAATCATGATCTCATTGAATGACAGAGCAAATTCGACAGATTGAGTGACCTACTTCTGTTCCTACATCTTATGTGGTCTTGTGGACCGGACAACAAGGACACTGTTTCCTCAGAGCAGTTCTGAAAGGAAATGTTCATTAAATCAGCTTTGCACAATAAGCAGCACGTTATATCTTCCTTTTTATTCCCTATAAGTTCATGAGTTGCTATGTTTTGTACAAATGCTTACAACCAGAAACGCACATAAGATTATGGATGTTATGCACGCGGGCAGTGTGTGTAAAAAAAAAAAAACAAGGAAGTTACAATGAGTGTTTTAAAACAGACAGATTCTGTCTCAACTGGACTACTGTATCCAATTCTGAGCTCCACTTTAGTGGGAATGTGAACGCACTGGAGAGGATGGAGAAGAGAGATGTGCAAATGGTTCCAGGCATGGGAGACTCCAGATACATGAATAGATTGGAGAAGATTATTGAAAACTGAGATGAAATTTGAAAGAGGTGTTCAATTTTGTGAGACGTCTGGACAGAGTAGAGGGAAAGAAAGTATTCCTATCAGTGGAACAGTCGGAAGGCAGAAGACAATGATCGAAGATGAATGACAAAAGAATCAATGGCAACATGAGAAAATCTTTACATGTTGCTTGTGAGGAGGATCTGGGATGCACTGAGTGTGCTGGAGGCAAAATTCAAACGTGGTTCAAAAAGGTAAATTTCTTAACCATCTGAAGGGAAAAGGTAGGGGTGTGGGACTAGCAGAGTTGTGGTTTCAGAGAGGCCTACATGCATAATGGGCCAAATATTCATGTCCCGGGCTGTGAAAGGAGCAAGAGCTTATTCAGCACCTCAGGTCCATGTGGCTCTCTGTAGAGTAATTCAGCTCCTCCCATTCTCTTACTCTCTGTCCATCACCATGTGAGGTTATTTCCCTCAAGTGCTCATCCAGTTTCCTTTTGAAATCATTCATTATCTCTGCTTCTATCAACCTTGCAAGCAGCAAATTCCAAGTCATTACGACTTGCCATCTTAAAAAAAAAAATTTCTTCTTCATCGCTGCCCAAAATTTAGAAAATTTGTATCCCCTTTGTCCTTGTACCATCAGCTAATGGAAACAACTTATTTTGTCTGTCTTGTTGAAACCTGTCCATAATCTTGTATATCTCTATCTTCTCCAACTTAATCTTGTCATTAAAATCCCTTAGCCATGGAATTGCTTTGATAAATCTATTCTGCATCATTTCAGAGAACCTCACATCCTTAATGAAGTTTGGTCATGATAAGCAGTTTACGATAATTCAATTATTAAGTAAATTGGAAGTGAGAAGCTAGGCCAACCAATGCTGGCACAATCCATTGTCAATTGTCATAAAGACCAACTGGTTCATTTACGTCCTTTGGGAAAGGAAATATTATTCTGGCCAAAATTAACTCCAGACCCACAGCAATGTGGTCAATGCTCAACTGTCCCAAAAATGACCTTGCACACCACTTGGTTATAACAAACACTACAGGAAAGTCAAAAAGGCATGGAATTGAACTGTTCACCCAGTATTGACCTAGACAACCAGAAACTTCAGTGGCAATCCCAGCCCTGTGGGCCATGCAATGTCCCCTTTAATGAGATCTGGGGCTTGTGCCAAAATTGGGAGACTTGTCCAATAGCCTCATCAGGCAACAGCCTTCTTATAGATGTGCTCAGTGAATCATACCTTGCAGACAATGTTTCAGATACCACCATCACCATTCCTAAGGTCCACTAGTGGTATTAGCACAGAAATATACAGGCACGAGGGTGTTTCCCTGGGCGTCCTCAATATTGAATCTTTACCCAATGAAATCTCATGAAATAAGGTTATTCTTTTAGCTTTTCTATTTACTTGCTGTGTCTGCACACTAACTAAGTTTCATGCACTAGGATACCCAGACCCCTCTTCTTCTTAGAGTTCTGCAATCTCTCTCCATTTAGACAATATGCTTTCTAATTCTTCGTGCCAAAATGGATGATTTCACACTTTTTCCACATTATTATCTATTTGCCAGATCTTTCCTCACTCACTTAATGTTTCTACATGTTTTGTAGCCATTCCTTGTCTTCTTAACAACTTGCTTTCAGACCACTATGTCATCAGCACATTGCCTGCAATAGTTGCTAACAGTTTCCACAGCCAACAGATCAAATTAAGGGTGTGCAATCCTGCCACATTAATTCATGAATGGTGGCGGACAATTAAACAACTAATTGGAGAAGGTGGCTCCATTAATATCCCCATTCTCAATGATGGGGGAATCTGGCACATCAGTGCAAAAGACCAGTCTAATGTATTTCCAACCATCTTCAGCCAGAAGTGCTGATTTGGGTGTCCATCTTGGTCTCCTTCAAAGGTCTACAGTACACAAATGCCAGTCTTTAATCAATTTGATTCACTCCCCCGCATGACATAAAAAAACCACTGAAGGCACTGCATACTGAAAAGGCTATGACAACATTCAAGCAATAGTACTGAAGACAAATGCTCTTGAACAAGCTGCACATCTAGCCAAGTTGTTCAAGTGCAATTAAAATACTGAAACATGCTTCAACAATGTGTAAAATTGCCTAGGTATGTCCTGTCCACAAAAAGCAAGACAAATCCAACCCAGACAGGTGGTACCTCATCAGCCTACTTTCCACGATCAACAAACTGATGAAAGATATCTGCAGTGCTATCAAGTGGCATTTACCCTTCAATAACCTGCTTACTTACGTCAGTTTGAGTTTTGCAAATGTCACTTAGCATTTGACCGCATTACAGCCTTGATGCCAACACAAACAAAAGAACTGAGCTCCAAAGGTGAGGTAAGAGTGACAGCCCTTGACATCGAAGCAGCAATTAACTTGTGGAAAACTTGCCCAATTCTCATTGCTTGGGCTCCTTGATTTCACTCTTAGTTGAGTTGTTTCAAGCACAAATGAGGATAGTTGTGTTAGTTGCTGGAAATCTATCAGCTCAGTCCTGTCACACCCAGTCACGAATAGTATTGGACAATTAAATAACTAACTGGAAGAGGAGGCTCCAGAAATAGCCTCATCCTCAATGATGAGGGAGCCTAGCACCTCAGTGCATAAGGTAAGACTGAAGCATTTGCAACAACTGTTGGCCAGAAATGCTGAGTGGATGATCCCTCTCAGCCTTCTCCTGAGGTCCCTAGCATCTCAAATGCCAGGTTTCGGTCAAATCAATTCACTTCACATTATATCAAAAAAATGGTGAAGACACTGGATACTGCAAAATCTGTGAACTTTGACAATATTGTGGCAGTAGTACTAAGAGTTGGACTGCAGAACAGGCTGCACCCCGGCCAAGTTTTTACAGTACTGTTACAATACTGGCAGCTGCCCAACAATGTGGACAATTGCCCAAGTGTGCCCTGTACAAAAAAGAACAACCTGGAGAATTACACCATCAAGTCTGCTCTTCATCACCTGTAAATTGATGGAAGGTGTCAATGACAGTGTTATCAAGCAGGATTTGCTCACTCACAGTCAGTTTGGGTTTCGCCAAAGCCACTCAGTTCCTGTCCACATTACAGCTTTGTTGGCTTACAGTCAAACTTGGACCAAAACAGCTAATTCCAGATATGAGGTGAGTTACTGCCTTTGATAGCAAGGAGCTCAAGCAAAACTAAAGTCAATAGGAATAACTCTGCTTAAGCACTGAAGTGTTACCCCACCGGGAGGGAACATCCCTGTCACTTCAGCAGACAAGGACTTTTGGTCTTAGATCTTTGGTTAAACCTACTCCAAGGCGGACTTCAGGATACACAACAACGCAGAATCACCGAGCAGAGGCTGATAGCCAAGTTCGATACCTATGAGGATGGCCTCAACTGGGATCTTGGGATCATGTGGCACTACTGGTAACCCTACCACGCTATACACACTCACACAAACACACACACACACTTGCATACACAGCAGGGGGCTGGCCTAGCAGTATTATCGTTGGACTATTAATCCAGAGACCCAGATAATGTTCTGGGGACCCAGATTTGAATCCCACCATGGCAGATGGTGAAATTTGAACTCAATAAATATCTGGAATTAAGAATCTGATGATGACTGTGAGTCCATTGCCAGGAAAAACTCACCTGGTTCGCTAATGTCCTTTAGGGAAGGAAACAGCCATCCTCACCTGGTCTGGCCTACATGTGACTCCAGACCCACAGCAATATGATTGACTCTTAGCTGCCCTCTGAGCAATTAGGGATGGGCAAGAAATGCTGCCTAGCCCGTGACACCCTTATCCTGTGAATGAATAAACAAAAAACTCACAGACTCTCTCACACACACATTCACACGCTCCCTCCCTCACATACATACACTCTCTCCCTCACACACGCGCACACACATTCTCTCCCTCACACACATATAAAGCTATGAGGTGAATTTGCATTTGCAGATACATTCTATTTTGTTCAAAAACCTCATATTTTGTAGACAGTCATTGTGGCTTTTCCTCCGTTGGAAATGAAACCAGTCTGACTCCAAGTTGATACACAGCCAGATTCTAAACAAGGCCTGACACCTAAAATGCATTGTCTGACCTGGGATGTCACCTCTGGTATACTGAGGGAACTGATAAAACCTTTAGTATTTCCGGGCAGTACTTAACTCTGAAATTAATGAATTTACATATTAATCCTTTCTAACTGATTAAAGATTTAACAGCCATTTTAAGTTTGTTTCAACATCGCATCAGTTCTGTGACCCTTTGATCTTTTGCTTATAAATTCTGTGTCCGATACCATCTCTCTCACTGACACCTGAAGGAGTGACACTCCGAAAGCTTGTGTCTTCAAACAAACCTGTTAGACTATAACCTGTAAAAACCGAAATAACTGCGGATCCTGTAAATCAGGGACAAACACAAAGTTGCTGGAAAAGCTCAGCAGGTCTGGCAGCATCTGTGAAGGAGAAAACAGAGTTAATGTTTCGGGTCCGGTGACCCTTGTTTGGACGATAACCTGTTGTGTGATTTTTGACCATTTTCAATAAGAATGAATATATGAAAGAATGTAACTATTGCCCCTTGATATTCGATGACAATACCATCATTAAATCCCACTCTATCAACATCCTTGGGGTTACTACTGCCCAGGTCACGGTTCGGGCACCTCAACCTTCGGCTCGGAGCTCGGGCTCGTTCGACTTCGGCCCCGAGTTCGGGCTCCTCCGAGATAGTAGGAACTGCAGGTGCTGGAGAATCTGAGATAACAAGGTGTAGAGCTGGATGAACACAGGAGGCCAAGCAGCATCAGAGGAGCAGGAAGGCTGACGTTTCGGGCCTAGAGCTGTACACCTTGTTATCTCGGGCTCCCCCGAGTTCGAGTTCCTCCGAGTTCGGGCTCCACCGGCTTCGGCCCCGAGTTCGTGTTCCTCCGGCCTCGGCTCCCAGTTCGGGTTCCTTCGACTTCGGCTCAAAGCTCGGGGTACACCGGATTCGGGTCCGAGTTCGTGTTCCTCCGGCTTCGGCTCAGGGCTCGGGCTCGGGCTCGGGCTCGGTCTCCGTCTCCTCCGAGTTCGGCTCCGCACTCGGGGTCCCCCACCGGAAATGCGGGGTGATGGTGGTTTAGCGGATTCAGTTCCGGGGTCGGGAAGGTTAGTTGACCGGGAGGGGGGTGGGGGGGGTCTGTATGTGAGGCCTGGGCAGCGCCGGGTTGGGGAGGGGGGGGGGGGGAAAGTGAAGAGAAAAAAAAAAAAAAACAAAAAAAAGATGTGAGAGACAAACCCAGGCAACCTCGCAGCACTGCAAGGCGGAGTAAGTATGCAATGCAAGGCGGCGGCCGGCTACCGATAAAGTGAGCAGCTGGTTTAAGCGAGAGCAGAGCAGGGCCGGGCCTCCATGTTGTATGTGAAGTTAGGAACCAAGTAAGTGCTTTCTTGAGTTGTTTCTGTGCTCGGACCCCTCACTTCTCTCACATAGTGCATGCACAGGCAGGCACCAAAAATAAGTTTCCGCCTTCGTCTCTGCATTTATTACTGTCTGGTTTCCCCCTGTCCTTATTTCATTGACAATCACAACCTGTTTTTAATTTGGTGTTCCCTTCCCTTCTAGCCCCCCCGCCAACCCCCCAACTGTGTCACTTAAGTGTCTTCCACCCCGTAACTCCCCACCCCGTTTCAAGTTTAAAGCAGTTTATTAATGTTTCACAAAATGCCCCCACTCAGCTTGTTTCCCATGCCCGGCCGTGTTTCTCTATCGGCGAGAATTATTGAAGCTTTGAACTGTAATCAACGTAACAATTGAGGAGAGTTAAATAACAGAAAGGGTTGTTCATGACGCGCTCTTGTCCTTTGTGAGGGAATGTTGATAACAGTTGCATTTTTGTCTTTCAAAGCAAACTGCCCTGCGATTTGCAAGGGAAATAAACACCCACGAGGTAATTTCCAGGCCCTAGACATGTCCTTCAGAACATTCTCAAGCCCTCTGGTAAAAACTAAATCTGCTCGATTATTAGCATATCTGTTTGTAATTCTGTTTACCAAGAGGACAAAGTTGCAGGAGACGCTCCGCATTTTAAAAGTGAAACGAGTGGCCAGTTGACCGTGGTGTAGATCATCCGGCCAAGATCAACAATGTCCTAATTGCTGCCCGTGCCTACAGTGTTTTAAGTTTGTCCCTTTCTCAGTAAAACTGACCTTGTAAACGCGGTTTCCTCAAAGTACATGGCCATGAACATTTCATTTACAACGGAGAACAAGAGTTTACAGCTGGAAAAGCAGATTAGCCTTGTTTTCCCCATTACATTGTGGTAGTATGCATGTTTTTGTTTGTACGTACGAGGCTTGGGTTTCGTTTTGTTGTCTTCGTGTCCAGATTTGAAAAACATTTTGAGAAGGACGTTCATCCAAAAAAGTCAAGGTAGAATTTTCGAGTGAAGTTACCATTGAGTTGTGCACTGGAAAATTAAGATTATTCCCCACATTATCTTTGCTGTTTTGTATGTATTTTTCAGGCTAAGAAATTATCAATGTAGAGATTTCATTTTTGTCATTATGGAAGCACTAGTGATTGTCTCAAATCAAGATGGATATTTATTGTTTTTATCTGAAGTCCCTTTACATTTGCTTTCAAAATATACTCATGCTGTTTCCTGTGACCTCGTTGACATTGTTTTTACATTGTTCATAGCTGAGCTTTCAGAATCCTGATTAGCACTGTAGAATATTGTAGTATGGAACAGGCACTTTGCCAGCAAAATTTTGATGGGATGTTTTCTTTGCATTCTACATCTCATTTAATCTCACTCTCTTACTCATTCTGCATCATAGAATGATACAACACAGATGATGTTCTTTAATCCTTTTTTCCTCAGATCCCAAGACAACAATACCACTTTGATTTGAAATTAAGAGTTATTCAGAATCAAACTGGTAATTTCAGCATGGTGATAACATTCTGAAATCAGTTCAGCACAGTGACAACTGTAGCAGCTCTCCACCTTTTATCTGGAAAAATCCAAGTCTGTGTTACTTTGATTGAAAACTGGGATCGTTTTTGATTATATATCGCTAGTCACATAGTAAATACTGCAAGCTGTAGCCTGAGCCACCATTTTGATTGACTTCAGATGTAAAAGCTATTTAACCCCGTGTATATGTTTTTTATTGCGCATACTTTAAAAATGGGGAATTATAATCCATCAAACTTCTGTGCCTTAGTTTTCTTTTTTAAAAATTATTTTGTTTCGGTTTACCTGTGTTTTACTTGCTCACTGCTTTTAAGTAGATTCCAGTATTTTGTCATGTTTGAACTTTGTTTCCTTTATCCATAACATTCATATTCTGGAGAAGTATGGTCATAAACTTGTACCTTTGGCAGGTAATGTTTTGTTGAATTGAGCAGTTTATACTCTCAATTTCCCACATGGTGAGTTCCTTGATTTAAACATTGCTAATTTAGTGAGGTGCGATGAGGAGTCTTATGCTTCATGGTATGGATAAGTTTGAATGAGGTATCACATGTCTGTTCCTGTACAACTTTAGACATCAGGTTGCAGTGTAGCGTTGAGCATGTTCCAAGGACATGGTAGATAGAGAAATTGGAAAAATTGGGCATGTAGAAGGAAATTATACTGAGATTACAAGTTAAATGTACACTTAAATTTGTAACTACATAATATTTTAAAAGAAACCTACAGATGTTTCAGTCTCTGTCATGAAGTTTGTGATTCTGAATCTGTGGAATTCAAGTTTTCATATTTCCATATTTCCATAATTTTGTAGATATGGAAGTGAGCCGACTGTGGGTGAGTGGCAGGCTTCCTTACAAAATCTGAGTAATTTGGTGACAAATTGACAGCCAGGTGGCTAAGTTTTGAGAAGGATCAACAGAAGTTTTAAGATCTAGTTCCTGAAATGTTGTTTTGAGTTGGGAAATAGCTTTGCTCACTTGAACAAAAGAGTGAATGTAAAAAATCTTCTGAGGTTTGTGTTTTTAAAGGTACTGTTGAATTTTCTCCTTTCTGTCATTTAAATGGTGCGAAAATTAAACACTTAGAGATGGTCCAGAAGCGAGTGTAGGAGTGTCAGAAGTTAAATTAAGGAAACCAGTATTAATGTGTATTTGTGTTTTTTACTAGACCTTGTACTTTACCTGAATTGTTCAATATTCAAACATTATAAAATACAAGATATCAACCATCTGCTTAAATTCCTTTCCCACCTCCACTATCAACAATTGCAAAGTATGCACTGAATTGAGAAACATTTGAAATCATTTATTCAGTTGCCTTTATCATTTCCCTTCCTTCCATTTGTTCATCAGTGCAAAGTTCCCTTAACCTAGTTTCTGCCCCTTTTTTCCCCTCCTGCCTTCTATGAGATCATCTTTTCCTTGAGACAAATTTCTTGCTCACAACCCTAATCACGTTAAATTTCTGACCACCCACTTTCCTTCCTAGCTAGCCTCCTTGTTCGATGACACCATAAATAGACCTCCCTTCAACCCCCTTACAAATCCGTCATTATCACCTGCATTTTGAAAAAATAAACACTTGACCTTCATCTTGCAAATTACTACGTAGCTCCATAATCGCTTGCCTTTCAAACACTTGAGTGTACTGTCTGCTCCAAGATCATGCTTCTCTTTGTTATAATATAGTATTTAAATCCCTCTGGGCACTGAAATGGTCCTAATTTAAGTCACAAATAATGCAGCCTTTGACATGGCTGGCTTCAACGTCTCCTGTTAGTCCACAGTTGTCTCAACAGTTTGTCTGATGTACTGTACTGAATTATTCGTATACTTCCTGGCTGGCCTCTTATCATCCACTCTTCATAAACTTGACCACATCCACAGCTCTGCTGCCTTAATCTGTATCTTAACCTGTGGAAATTTGCCCTGTATTCACTGACCTGACAGCCACCTGTTCCACCAACACTCCAGTTTTTAAAAAATCACATGATTATGCTGAATTCTCTAGCCTCTTCCAACCCGCATTTACTGTCTGTTACCAGTCATGTTTCCAACCATCTAGACCCCCCTACCTCTGTGTTTCATCCTTTGACACTTTCCTTGAAACCTGCCTCTTTGAGGATCCTTTGGTCACCCCTCCTAATATCCTCTTTGGCTCTGTGTCACTTGCTGTCCCCTGTGATATCCTTTTGATGCTGGTCATTGCTGTTATAATTTTGTCACTCTTTGGAAGTACAGTGTCACTTTGGAAATAGAGAAAAAAATAGATTCCTTTCTGAATTATCTAATTATAAAGCCAAGATCACAGCTCAGGTAGTTGATGTGGACCCTCTAAATTCTGCAATTTGATTATTGCCTAAATTCTCTGAAGCATCTGTTACCATTTGCTATTTTTAAACAATGCAAATCTATTGTTATTTTCCTTGATTTTGTAATGCCAGATTTTAATTTTCCTTTCCCATTTAATTTTAAAAAAAACATGGCTTAGGGTTGAAAAGAATGTTGAATTTGGTGTAAGATCTGTTGAAAAAGTAGTAAACATGTGATATAGCACCTGAAGTATTAAAGTGGCGAATTACAGGAAGATTCACAACTTGGGATAAAATTATCTCAGGAATTTTTCTGAAGCATTCACGATGTCTCGCATTTGGAAATAAGGTCGAACCATTATAAATGAAATGTTGCTATGCAGTAATGTGATGAGGCTAATTATAGCAGTGATGAAGTGTGAAAGGCCTATAAGTCAAGAATGCCATGGGCCCAAGTCACACTATGAAACACTATCAGTGGTGCAAAGTAGTATTTTATTTCTGGTCTGTTGTGCTGTCTTTTAATGGATGATCAATTTTAATGGAAATTTTTGTTTTTTTTAACTATTTTTAAAGAAACTGCCCTGATGAAGATTTATCATTTATATAGGGCATTTCACATTTTCAGAAGGTTCCCAAGGTGTTTCACAGCTTAATGAGGTATTTTTGAAATGGAGTCACTGTCCAAGAGAAATGCAGCAATCATTTCAGAAACAGCAAGCTCTAATAAATATGAATGAGATAAATGACCAGACAATCTATTCTTGTTGAAAGATAAATGATAGCCAGATGACCCAGAAATCCTTCACTCTACAATGAATTGCGCCATAGTTTCTTTTTAGGTCCAGCTGAGAAGGTAGGCGGGACTTCAA